TAAGAGACCCCATCCATCCCGAGTTTCATAAAAATAAAAATAGGAGGTAGAACCAATAAATTCGATAGAGCAAATCATCGGTGAAATCCCGTGATCCCCCCCTATATATTAATACAGAACGCGCTGAGCCTACGTGGCTGCTTCTGGTGCTTCGGAATCCTATGTGACAAAATTGCATGCTTCGTTATTAGGCTTGGGTAAATTTTAATTTAATTCCAGACCAAAATAATTAGGTTCGGATTACCATAAATATGTTGATTATTTATGGTCATGTTACATGTATTAATTGTATTTTAATATCATTCCTTATTATAACTATTGAATTGTATATATATTTTAAAAGTTAATAACTTTTGTATTTTTTATCAGTTTTACATATGTAATATATCAAATTAATCTTCTTTTGATGAGCTTCGATTTAACATCCATATTGTATGTATAAAAAAAAATATTCATATTTATCTTTATAACAATAATAAAATACCCCCAGTATATTAATACAGAACGCGCTGAGCCTACGTTGCTGCTTCTGGTGCTTCGAAATCCTATGTGGAAAAATTACATGCTTCGTTATTAGGCTCGGGTAAATTTTAATTTAATTCCAAACCAAAAATAATTAGGTTCGGATTACAATAAATATGTTGATGGTCATGTTACATGTATTAATTGTATTTTAATATCATTCCTTATTATAACTATTGAATTGTATATATATTTTAAAAGTTAATAACTTTTGTATTTTTTATCAGTTTTACATATGTAATATATCAAATTAATCTTCTTTTGATGAGCTTCGATTTAACACTCATATTGTATGTATAAAAAAATAATTTATATTTATCTTTATAACAATAATAAAATTATTTTTAATATTAATTAGAAAAACAAAATTATTTATCAACTAATATATTTGTATTTCAAGTAGTTATATGATATAAGTTATAAAAACTAATATAATATAACACATGTAAGTCATACGTAACACATATCATTCTAAAATATATAGTACTATATTTTTTTTGTAAAAAAAGTAAACTAAATTTAATATAGTTTTCTTACTAATTTTAAAATTTAAGAATAATTTTTTAACAAGCACCCGTGTAATACACGAGTATTGTAAAAATATACAATTCTAAACCCGGTTTATACGGTTTTCCCGGCCTGAATATACGGTGGAGTAATATTAGGCGCAAACTATGGTGAAACTTGAAAGGTGGATGAAATTTAATTCTGAGTCCTAAATTAATGGCACGCATCTGACTTGTCTCCTATTGTGGAAGCATATGCCCACGCAGAAATAATTGAAACTGACTTGAGATGTGCAATCTCTTCCAACTTATTAAGTAGTACTATTTTGTCTAAAACAAACTAACATGCAACCGAAAGCATCTGAATTTGTGTTACGTATAGAAATACTGCTTTGGATTTCAATCCACAAATTAAATCTTGTTTTGTTTTGTTTGGTGAACAATCTCCTCAATTTTACGCCATGTATAACCAACTAGTAACTCGTGCGGGACACGAGAGCATTAATTGTGTACTTGATTTTTAAAAAGTATTTTTATAGTTAAATTGTAGTATGACATTAAAATATTATGAAAAATAAAATTTATGTATAACATTCTTGATTTGATTCTTTGGCACGTAAAGTAATATATGAGTGTTCGAATTTCATTTAAGATTGTATATTATTAGTTATTAGTTAACAAATTACGTTTTTTAATAAGGAATCTTATTTTTAAACAAAATTGTAGTAGAAAAAAAAATAGAGATTTTTTTTTTTTGATTTTCACGCTATTTTACTTTATTATTTAAATATAATTCAAATTTTTTATTAAGAAAAATTGAAAATAACCATTAGTTTTTCCTAGAAATGAAACCAAATTTTCTACCAATATGTGGATTTTTTTTACCAAATAAATTAATCTGAATATCTGGTTAAATTGTATGACATTAAAATATTATATATAACATTCTTGATTTGATTCTTTGGCACGTAAAGTAATATATGAGTGTTCAAATTTTATTTAAGATTGTATATTATTAGTTATTAGTTAACAAATTACGTTTCTTAATAAGGAATCTTATTTTTAAACAAAATTCTAGTAGAAAAAAAAAAATAGTGATTTTTTTTTTGGATTTCATGCTATTTTACTTTATTTTTTAAATATAATTCAATTTTTTTATTAAGAAAAATTTAAAATAACCATTAGTTTTTCCTAAAAATGAAACCAAAATTTTTCCTGACCAGGGTTAGCCTTTAAGTATCTAACAACCCGAACTGCAGCCTCCCAATGCGCTTGCATAGGCTTCTGCATGAACTGAGCGAGGGTATGAACACAATAAGATAACTTTGGTCTCGTAAGAACAAGGTAAATTAAGCGACCAACCAACCGGCGATAGACCTCAGGATTGGGCAAAGGAGTATCAGTAACTAGCGGAAGGTGATCATTTAATGTTCACCTGTGATTGAGCCATGAAAATCAGGAAACTTGCTGGTATAAACTTGAAAAGTACCCAAAGAAAGGAAGCTAATTTCAATGAGTGGTGTCAGGAGGTGTGCACAATGCCTGATAATGCTTTCAAAAGAGATAAAATTTCTTTATCAATATATTTGTTATGGTGGATGTAGAAAACAAGAAATAGTTGGGTGTTTAATAAGAAGAGCAGATCAGAGACAAAAGTGATGTGTATGTTAGTATTATGTTTTTGCCTTGTAGTTAAGTGTTGCTTATGTCTGTTGAATTTGTTAGTTTATTTCTGTTGGTTTAGCTTTTGTTGTTTATGATCGGGTTGTTCTCTTAGGGGCACTGGTGTGAGTAGCCTCCTACTTGTGTCTCTAGCCTAAGACTGGTGTGTGGTTAAGGCAAGTGCAACCATTTGGTTGTTCGTATTGTACATTTTGCATTTATGCTCTAGTAAAATTTGATGTTTGAGAAAAAACAAATAAATAAATAAAATTTAAATTGGTTGATAAATTATAATTTGAATAACATTTATTTTTTTAAAATAGTGATGACTTGTTATTAGCTTTGTTTATGACTTGAACTTATTTACTCAATTTAAAAATATTTTCATGTTATTGTTTTGTATATTATTATTAGATTTTAAAACACTTTAATAAACATATAAAATATTAATTATTTTTATTCTCTAAATAATTACAAGTTCAACATAAATAAAAAATGATAAAATATGTGAATGTCTTTATGAATAATTTAATATATTAACCAGTGTTCTAAAAGTCGCTAAGCGCCCGCTAGACGCTCGACCAGCGCCTAGCGCCTAGAGTGCCTAGTCGGGGCCTAGGGGCGCCTAGAAATCAATACTAAATACATATAAATAAAATTATCTCAATATTAATAAATCGACACACCTAAATCCAAATAATAAAATTAATATATTTTAAAGAAAAAATGAGAACAAAATAATGTAATTAGTATTTAAAAATTTAAATAAAAAAAATTGTTGCCGAGCCCGCCTAGGTCTGCCTAACCCGCCTAGGCGCCGCCTAACCGCCTGGCCGCCGAGTCCGTCAAGTCCGTCTAGGAGCGCCTAGGGCCACCTAGGCACCTTCTAGCCGCCTTGCCGATTTTTTCTGCCGATTTGTACGAGGCGCCCGGGCACCGCGCTACTTGCGCAAATAACAGGGCACACCTTGCTAAGTGTGTCAAGGCCTTTGTGTAATACAATTCCTCAAAAAATCGTGTGTGGTGAGGTTTTTTTATATGGGACATGTGTACCATTTCTATTGAATAATGAATTTTATAAACATATTATATAACTTAAAATATCATTCATTTTTATATTAAAAAATAAAATAAAAATACCAAAATTCATTAATTTTCATTCTCTACAAATAGAGACAACATTTGATAGTTTTTAGAACACAATTAATTTATCACTTTTCACAATTAATTTATCTTATTGGAAGATGGAGACGCAAATCCATAATAAGATGAACATGTTACATAGCAAGATGAACATGTTATAGAATAAGATGAGCATGTTACATATTTACAAAATAAGATGAACATGTTATAAAATAAGAGGAATGTTACAAAATGAGAGTTATAAAATAATTAGATAAACATGTATTATTTCATTCTGCAATCCGTAACATGTTAATCTTATCTGATAACATATTCATCTTATTATGTAACATGTCCATCTTATGTCAGTATAATAAATTGATTATGAAAAAAAATTAATTATGTTCAAAAACCTATCAAATGTGGTCTCTATTCATAGAGAATGAGAAATTATGAATTTTGGTATTTTTATTTTTTATTATAATATAAATTATTAATGATATTTTAATAAATCTAATACGTCTCATTTTCAATTAAAAAAAAAAATAGACATGTGTACTACAATCCTTCATTTTTTATTTTTTTTTTGGTGGTGAATGCGCGCGTGCATAATTGCCCTAACATACCTTGTTAGGTGTGTCAAGGCACACAGTAGTGGTACTGGCCGCCTTTGTCTACTTTTAGAACAGTGATGCTAACAACTAATAAAAAATAACTAATATTTTCAAACACTCTTTTACAAACCGCTAACACAGTCATATAACCAAAACAACTATGAAATCCGTTAGTCAAATAACAACTAATGCAATCAACTAACGAACAATTATTAGGAAAGCATATCAGCTTTAACAAAACTTAAA